CAAAAAAAAAAAAAGGTTGAGAATTTAGAGTGTTAACATGTTGTGGGGTTGTTAACCAATGTCATAAAACAACATGTGTACTTCTGTTTCATGAGAAACTATTTGTTCTGTAAGCCTTCACCTGAAGTACGATAAAATATAAAAAAAAAAAAATCCCTTACCATGTATAGTGTCATAAATTGGAAACCATCCTGAGATGACTGTTGCAGCTTCACTATACAGTAAAGGATCAATATCAATGTACACTTTACCAATGGCATCATTTGCACTGTAAGTATCATGGTCAAGGACTGTGATCTGTAGAGGTTCATCTTGTAAATCTTCATCATCCACCTAAAAGTATACCTTAAAATTAAATCCTGTAATTTAAAATTTTTAATTTCCACAAATGCATATGTACACCAAATGAAAATTAACTTATTTCTGAAAAACAAATCTTATAGGTTGATCGCCAAGCACAAAGGTAGTGGGATTAACGCACAAAAAGGCTGTAACTTCTTTTTCTACACAGGATGCCATATTTCTGAAGGAAAAAAAAAGTATAGTTTACCTCTAGGCAAAAAGGTAGGATGATTAACACACATAAAAAGGTTTTAACTCCCTTTTCTACACATTATCCTGTATTTTACGACTCTATAGATGATATTAAACAAAAATGTTTAAGGAATGTCATAAAAGAGCCCGCACATTATCTAAAGATCATAAGGATGTAAATGATCCCAATGACACTAGAATCTCTAAGGACAATTTCAGAGAGTAAAACTGACATATTATTTGTAAGAAAAGAAAACAATTTAGGTTAAAATAAATGTCTAGCCTCTTCCTACTTTAGTCACTCATTACTAAGTACCTAACATGTGCAGGCACTGTGTCAAACACAGGGACTACAAGGAAGAACAAGGCAAAGATTTTCCCTACTTTGGCTGCCATCCTTTGGATACCATGTCATTCTCTAGTCAGCCAGAATCCACCATAAAATACAGTGGCTAGAATGTAATACAATATTCTAGCTAATAATAAGACTAGAGTAGAATACAAAAAAAAATATAAACATACATATATAAATTATTTCCTGCGATTAAAATATTATGCTTTTTAAATGTAGTCAATGATTGATTTCACAGCAAACATGCCATAGTGCTAATTTAGATGGAGTCTGTGATTAACTAAAATCTCTATATCCTCTTTACACATGCTTTGGTCAGGTGTTATCTCTGTAATCCTTACAGTTTCTTATAATTAATTTTTTAAACTTAAATATGAAACATCACGTTTTTCCCTTTTCCCTGTATAATGTCTTGTTAATTTCTGGCTAACAATGCAGTCTATGAAGATTGAGTATTAAAGCACATAAAGGAATTATCGTTGACATCATTGGTGTGATAACGTGATTTGTGGTTTTGGTAAAAAAGGGACACATAATTAAAATTAATTATGTAAGATATATAATTAAAAATTTATGGTTAAAATTATATAACATCTTGAATTTGCATTAAAATATTTCTGAAAAAAAATCAGGGGGATATGTTACAGATGAAAAGATGACAGCAGAATTTAGACAATGTTAACGGTGGGAGACAGGTAGAAATTCACTATGTCTCTCTACCTTTGTGCATGCTTGAAAACTTCCATAATGAGGCATTAAAGTAAAATGATCACTTTGAATCTCAATCCATTTGACTCCTGTATCATCCAATGGCTCTTCTCTCTACTACCACTACAGTGAAACCTGTGAAAGCCGGAACTCGCCGGGACGGCCTTGTTTTTCCAGGTCTCAAAAGTTTACTGCCTTTGACAGGATGTAGTCTTACCACTTTTCTATCGTTTATTTTAGTGGAAAATATTTGAGTTTTCCTTCTCTGACAGGTTTCTCCCTTAGACAGGTTCCGACTTTCACAGGTTTTACTGTATCTTATTTATACATTTAATAAACGGAGTTCTAAACCAAGTTATGAATCATTCCTAAGTCCATTAATAACACTATGTACGCTTTATTCAACTATAAATACATTCATCTATGAGTACTATCACCTATCTCATGGTATACCTACATGTTCTTTCACCTAATATTACAGGGCTCTATGCCAACTAAGTGACTGGAAATAGTTCTTGATATATATGGATAGCAAATAATATGAATAATCAGCACAGATAAATTTAGGAATTAATTGCAATGAATTGATTAAAGACATTTAATAGGTTAAATAGCCAATCTCAAATAATAAAATATTATAAATTATTAAGACCTTCTCAGAAGTTTAAAATGTTCACTATTCCTGAAATAAAAGGCAGTCATATCATTCCATGGGAGAAAAGGGTCAATCTATAAACACTCAAAAAACGCTGACATTTATAGAAGAATCTGATCACAAGGGGCGAAAATGGAGACCAGAATTTGAAATTCTCATGGAATCCAGACTTTTCTGGAGCCATTGAGGCTGGATGACCTTCAAAACTATTTCCCTGAGATAATCTTTAAACCTTAAATTAAAACTATCCCCTGCAGTCATCTTTAAAACAAACAATAGTTTAATTAATAAAGAACGTCTGTCTTGAGTATTGTGTCCTTTTAAATTATCTATATATGCGATCAAATCGACAACAGCAACACAAAAGGTTAGATGAGAAGCTTAAGGAGCAGTGAGTGTACATTAATGGTGGTAGAAAAATTTGCAGAACAATACCAAGAATGGCTGCACAACTTGAAGAATGTAATCAATGGCACTGAACTGTACATGTAGAAATTGGTGAACAGATGTGTTTGCCCTACTATTTTCAACAAAAATAATAATAGTTTTTTTTTAATGCAGACATTTAAAAACTTACCTCAAATTTAAACCATTCTGAGTTCCATTGAGGGTTAAGTGACTTATGATACACATCTGTTTTAAAGGTGGTATTACCAAATTTAACCTAAAACACAAGTAAAAAAATAATTCAAATATCAAAAATATGAATTAAAGTAAACTATGATAACAGCAACAAAAAAAAAAAACAGAAAGATTAACTACGGAGGGAAAAAAAAAGAAACACGGAGAAAGATTAACTACGGAGGGAAATAAAAAAGACACCTACCTATTCCCTGAGTCAAAAGGCATAGGGAAAGGGATGGGTCTAGGTAAGCTCATAGAACACACCTGGAACAAGGTACACCCACTGTTCTCCTTTGATTAGCTCTACAGGGAAATTAAAGTTATAATTATGTCAGCATGAAGGAAGGAGTCAGTACTGCCTTCAGTAAACATGAGCTCATAAGAAAAGGAAATTCAACAGGAAGAGAGAGGAAGAAGAGCAAAAATAAAATCAGAAGGTAAAAAAGCTAGCTGACCTTTTTACCATCTCCACAAGGGAAGCCAGGAACTAGAGCTCAGTACTATAACAACTTACTAATATTTCCTTGTGTTTTCTAACTTCTCCATATTTGTTTTATTCCTTACCTGGACACGCATGGTGATCAGCAATAAACCATCATCCTTTAGGGGTTTTATGTTCTTATCTTTGGGACAATGAAAGAGCCTGGATGGGGACATTTTTTTTTTCATTTTATTTCATAACCAATCTTGGTAAACCCTAAGTCATGAAGATTCAAAAATAACCGAGAAAGAAATGAAGAAGGAAGCAAGCTAAATCCCTGGCACTTGCTCTAGACAGAGAATGGAATGCGTGAAACCTCAGATTGGACTTGACAAGTAGTCAGGAAGCTTAAGACCAAAACAGCTAGGCAACTACTTCCTTGCTTCCCTCACCTTTCCTAAATTAGATCACTTCAAGGTCTTACCCTAAATTGCTTCCGTTAACACCATCAATTATCTTTCCTAACCTCAAAATTCATTAAAAGTTATGTCCTTTATTACAACACCCAGCACAGTGTTCTGCTATGGCTGAAATAGGTAATCTATGAAATCTCGTTTGCTTTTTTGACCTACAATCTTACTTTTGGTATTATAATATTTGACAATATTGTTGCTTAGCTGATCCATTAAATTTTCTAAAAGTATCCAAAACTGTAATTATTTTTTCTCTTTTCCTATGTTGTTATTCAATTTGGGATTTATCAAGTATGGTACTAATCATTTGGTGTCTAGGCAGCTTGATTGGAGGTTAAAAAAAAGTTTAAAAATTACATAAAAATAATAACTTCTTACATGGTAAAGAATATGATAAAGTCAAAAGATAAATAACAAGCTGAGAAAAACTACTTACCACATCTCTCATAAAGAGCTAATTTCCCCCAATTTCTAAAGAGGGTCTTACAAAGCAATTAAGAAAAAAATCAACAACACAATAGAAAAATAGGCAAAGGATCATAAAGAACATATTCTACATCCTACTTTGGTGAGTAGCGTCTGGGGTCTTAAAAGCTTGCAAGTGGCCATCTAAATCTATTGGTACCAGCCTGTCTGGAGCAAAGGAGAAAGAAGACACAAGGAAAATATTAGCCCAAAGAAGTAAAGGACCACACGAAGCACAGCCTCCACCAGCCTGAGCCAAGAAGAATTAGATAGTACCTGGCTACCATCATCGACAACTCTGACAGGAATCACAGTAGAGAGTCCTGGACAGAGCAGGCGAAAAATGCAGAACAAAATTCAAATTCACAAAAAAACACCAGACTTACAGACTCTGACAGAGACTGGAGGAACCCCTGAGACCATGGCCCCCAGACACCCTGCTAACTCAGAACTGAAGCCTACTTTTCAGCCAAAGATTGGACAGGCCTATAAAACAAACAATAACGCATGTGACGAAAATGCTTCTTAGTTCAATGAAATATACAAGACCAAATGGGCAACTCCTGCCCAAAAGCAAAAAGAGAAGGCAGGAAGAGACAGGAAAACTGGACGAATGGACACAGGGAACCAAGGGTGGAAAGTGGAGAATGCTGTCACATTGTGGGGATTGCAACCAATGTCACAAAACAATCTGTGTATAAATTTTTGAATGAGAAACTAATTTATGCTGTAAACTTAAAGCACAATAAAATTTAAAAAAGAAAAACTGGCAAATGGCATGAGCAGACAATTCACAGAAATGGAAATACAGATGTCTTTGAATTATATGAAAAGATGTCAACTCTATGTATACTAAGAAATGCAAGCTAAAACTACATTTTTGCTCACGTTGGCAAGGATTAAAAGGTTTGAAAACACACCGTGTTGACAAGGCACTCTCATACTTTGTTGGTAGGAGTGTGAACTACAACAATCTCTACAGACAGCAGTTTGACAACGTGTATCAAATTTTTACATCACTATACTTTAAATAGTCCCCTAGTGGTGCAAACAATTAATGCACTCGGCTGCTAACCAAAAGGCTGGAGGTTTGAGTCCACCCTGATGTGCCTCGGAATAAAGGCCTGGAGATCTAATTCCAAAAAATCAGCCACTGAAAATTCTATGAAGCACAGTTCCACTCTGGCACATAAGGGCTGGCCATGAGTCAGAATCAACTCAGTGGCACCTGGTCTACCTTTAGGCCAACATCTCTCGGAATTTATCATACAAAGGTGTGCAATGGTATATATAAGAAGCAAAACACAGATACAGTAGAAAAATATGGGATACAATAAATATCCATCAACTTAGAATATATACTTAAATTAAATATGGTAAAGCCATACATTGTGGTTGTGTGCTATCAAGTCAATCTGGTCTCACAGTCACCCTATAGGACAGAGTAGAGCTGCCCCACAGGGTTTCCAAGTCTGTAATCTTTACGGAAACAGATTGCCACATCTTTCTCCTGCAGAGCAGCTGGTGGGTTCAAACAACCAACCTATCTGTTAGCAGTCAACTTCTTAACCACTGCACCACCAGGGCTGCTTAAAGCCATACAACAGAGTGCTAAATGAAAGAATGAAGCAGCTCTCTAGCACTGATACAGAATCTGCAAGCTGTGTCTTCTAGCACAGGACACTGTGTATGGCATTCTAGGATATGCAAGAAACTGTAACAGTGGCCACTGAAGAGAGTAGAATGGGTTGATTATGTTGCATTTCTGTATGCAAACCATCAAGGATATACCACTTATCTAAAAATTTCTTTATTTGAAGTAAAATGTTGCTAGGATTTATAAAGCCATTCAAAAACCAAATATATTTAACGGCTTTGGCTTAACTACCAAAAATAGCATATCATTTTTTAAGCTACTAGTTCAGAAATCTTCCTCACTTTTGTCCCACTATAGCAGTTGTGCTATGCCTTTTTCCGGCGGGGGTGGGGAGGAGGGTTTGAGTAGGGGAGAGGTCAACTGTCCATTCTAAATATATTAGGATCCGATAGTCCCCAAACTGCATTAAACAAACAAACATAAAACAAAATTACAGAAGGAAGAAAACTAGAGTGTGTATTTTGCCAAAATTGTGGTGATTTCCCTTCTACTAAGAAAGTATCACAGTACAGTCTTACTCAATTCAAAGGTGATTTTATTACTCAGCAACTAAATGTCTGAACAAATTGAATACTGATGGTGTTCTTTAGTAAAGGGATTACCTTTCCCCACTTTCTTATTAGTTGAATTACCTTGAGAAAGCTATTTAACCTGTTACTTAGACATCCTCTGAAAAGGGGCATTGCTATTAGCATTACATGAGGTAATGTATGTTGCATGTAGAAACTTAGCTTAATGCTTGGTACAAAGAAAATACTCATTAATATTAATTTCCTTTTCTCTCCTTGTTCCCTCAAAGATACCTATTGGATATACACAAAATGACAATGTAGTTTAACCAAACAGTTTATAAACTGGGATATATTTCCAGTGCTGCTTCTCTTGTATAGGGCCCCATCTCATTCATCCTGGAGATTCCTGCAAAAATAATCATCTTTAAATATCAGTTGAAAACCTCAACACAAATAACCCAATTCAAAAATGGGAAAAGGATATGAACAGGCACTTCACCAAAGAAAACATTCAGGCAGCTAACAGACACATGAGGAAATGCTCACGATCATTAGCCATTAGAGAAATGCAAATCAAAACTACAATGAGATACCATCTTACCCCAACAAGGCTAGCATTAATCCAAAAAACACAAAACAATAAAAGTTAGAGAGGTTGTGGAGGAACTGGAACACTATATAGTGTTAGTGGGAATGTAAAATGGTACAACCACTTTGGAAATCGATTTGGTGCTTCCTTAAAAAGCTAGAAATAGAAGTACCACATGATCCAGCAATCCCACTCCCTGGAACATATCCTAGAGAAATAAGAGCTGTCACACAAATAGATATACGCACACCTATGTTCACTGCAGCACTGCTCACGATAGCAAAAACATGGAAACAATCTAGGTACTCATCAACAGACGAATGGATAAATAAATTATGGTATACTCACACAACAGAATACTATACAACGATAAAGAACAACAATGAATCCATAAACATAACATGGAGGAATCTGGAAGGCATTATGCTGAGTGAAATCAGTCAGTCGCAAAAGGACAAATATTGTGTAAGAACGCTATCGTAAGAACTCAAGAAAAGGTTTAAACACAGAAGAAAATATTCTTTGATGGTTATGAGAGTGGGGAGGGAGAGTATTTACTAACTAGATAGTAGATAAGAATTATCTTAGGTGAAGGGAAGGACAGTACACACTACAGGGGGAGTCAGCACAACTGGACTCAACCAAAAGCTAAGAGTTTCCTGAATACAACCAAACACTTCAAGGGACAGAGTAGCAGGAGCGGGGGTCTGCGGACCATGGTTTCAGGGAACATCTTGGTCAACTGGCATAACAAAGTTTATTAAGAAAATATTCTGCATCCCACTTTGGTGAGTGGCATCAGAGATGTTAGAAGCTAGCGAGGGGTCATCTAAGATCCATCAATTGATCCCAACCCACCTGGAGCAAAGGAGAATGAAGAACACCAAAGATACAAGGAAAACATTAACCCAAAAGACAAAAGG